TGTATTCACAATAATCATGTTATTTAACTCTTTAAAAATACACACATATTTTGCAAAGGTTGTTTAAAAAATAAAATAATAAATACACACATAGTTGAAGTTCCCCAAACCAAGAGAGAAAAAAAAAATAAGGCGTGGGCTTTTCTTCAGATATCACACTTGACTGTGTGATGCTTCTGTCTGAATTCTACAGAACTGGGGAGCGAGTGCTGCCTCATGAACTCAGCTCCCAAAAGTAGCTCATCAGTATCTCCTCTCTACCGCTTTTCTATTTTATGCCATTTCAAAGAGCCCAACTGTCATCTGTGCACACCAAAAGGACTCCATAAATGCTGATGGGGTTTGTGGACCTCAGCTCCATACTGATAAACAAATAACTACAGCTGTTTGGGGTTATTTGCGCTTACGAGGTCATGTGAACATTTTATTTCTTGGGCCAGTACAACTAGAAAGACAAAATGTGGTCTCTGGTAAAAACCAATTGCCCATTAGTTAGAATTTCAGCCCACATTTTGCACTCAGCATTGTGCGAGATTTACAAGATCCATCAGGGATAATTGCTGCCTTTTGGAAATTTGCACTGTGAAAGAAAAAGCATGTGAGTCTAAATAGGGAACATAAGTATGTGAAAAAATTTAAACAGCCCTCTGGCAGCTGTCCATTGTCAGCAGAGAGAAGAGACTGCCCGGTGTTTCCCCAGAGGCCTCCCATGGTGGCCCTCCATCCCTTGGCAGCTTTGCCGGGCCCAGCCTCAGCCTACAAGCTTGGAAATTTCATTTTGCCCCTGTCTCTTGGAGGCAGACTCGTGTTAAGTAAGCTCAAAGGACTGATATTAAAAAGCTGACCACCAACTTGTTTATTCATTTGTGAAATAACTGAGTAACCAGAATACTCACATTTGTATGACCAGTGGATTTTCTGACTATCAAGGGACTTAGGAGGCTAACCTCAGTTAGCAATAATCATGCCTTGGATAAACCTCACTGGCCACAATACTGCCACTTCACAAAGCTGCCAGCCTGCTCAGGGTGCAGAGGCTGTTGAGGTGGGTAAAATCAGAACAATGGAAGTTGATGAGACAAAGATTTGATGGCACCCGCTGAGCTGCCCTGAGCATCCATCTCCTTTTGGGGACGGCCAAGACCAAAGTGCCCACGGAGGAGTGCCTCATGGAGATGAGCTGAATTTGTGAAGTAGGTCCTACTTATTATGGGGTCTAAAAGGAATATGTAACCAGGTGACTGGCCTCAAGGGGAAATAGCTATTGATGGAATAAAGAGAAATTGTTTTTGTAACCTCCTTCAAATATTGGGCTGAATTCTATTCCTGATGTTGCTGGCTAATACTCATGTCAATGGCAAACCCCTCACGTGTTGACGCCTTAGCTTCTCCATCTAGGAATGAGATCTATGTACTACCTGCCCTCTTCTGCTTGCTCAGGAGTGTAAGATACAAAAAGGAATTGCTTCTACTGTTACAGTAGGTAGCCAGTCAGGCATGGATGGGGCAGGAGAGGGCTCTCCCAACCCACCAGGAAAGTCAGGTGGCAATCAGATGATGGTCCAGCAGTTTTCATGCTTGCCTCTCTAAAATGATCATTGGTGGCAGCTGGTGCCAGGAAAAGGCAGTTTCTTAATGTATTAAAAACACCTGAAAATGGTACTCGGCAGCTTCCACTAAGATTTCAGGAATTGAGGCTGTGTCATGCATGTGTCCTTAACCTTGGCAAAATAAATTTCCAAATTGATTGAGGTCTGTCTCAGACACTTTTTGGTTTATACTCCTTACTTGTACCAAGTAAAAATTATCCTACAGGGCCAGGTGCAGTGGCTCACATCTTATCCCAGCACTTTTGGAGGCCAAGGTGAGAGAATCACCTGAGCCTGGGGTGGGGGTCAAAGCTGCAGTGAACCAGTTCTCACCACTGCACACTAGCCTGGGCGACAAAATGAGGCCTCCTTACAAACAAACAAACAAAGTATTGATTTAAAAAAACCCTACATTCTCTTGGGGAGGCATTTGTGGCTTGCCAGGCAAATGAACCCAGGGTGTTTTTTGAGTAACAGAGGAAGTGAATCAAGAGGCTACAGAGCAATAAAGCAGGTTAGGGCTTGGATTCGTGGCCAGACAGAATGCAAAGGTTTTGTTCTCCTATTCAACCAGCCTTAGGAGGGGTCTGGAGTCACTGGTCCACTGGCACTCTGGCATTTTGAGGCCTGGGGGAGTCCTGAACGGGGCCAGGCATTGATGATACAGGCCGTCTGGTCACAGCACACCTGAGTGGTGGAAACACGGGGGCAGCTGAATGTCTTTGAGGGAAGGTCAGATGCAGAGTGGGTGGGCCAGGACCTGCAGATCCTTACTGAATCCTGAACGATGATTAAAAACGATCATAAATCCTTTGCCATTCCTCGTATGAATGGATGGAGGCTCTTCGTCTACCTCTCCATCTGGGCTGGCCCTGTGACCACTGAGACGGACAGAATACAACACAGAAATGCTGCGTGTGTCTTGAGCTGGGGCTTCGAGCGGCATCACAATTTCCCTCTTCCCCTCTTGAAATGCTGTTGCCTCCTAAACAAGGTAGGGAAAATTGTTAGCTGTCAATTATGTCCATTGAGATTCTCTCCAGGCTGGCCTCTTTGAGGAAGAGAAAGCAAGTGCAGAGAGAAGCCTGTCTCAGCAGAGGCCCTAAACGTGCAGAGGAGCCTGGCTCAAAGCAAGCAGCAAATCGGTAATTGTCACGAAATTCTGAGTTGGTTAAATCTTTGATAACCTAAATATTTGAAATGAGCTTTTCCATTTCTGGCCTAGGGGCTACCACAAGGTCTGCTACTTCCCCCGCCCTCCATCATGTGTTTTAAATCTCTTAACACAGCCGCCGCTCCAGCTGGGGCTCTGATGGTCTCCCAGCTGCGTCACTGCAGCAGCCTCACAACAGGCTTTTGGCTCCAGTACTGGGGAACAAACTGCAGTTTGCTCCTGCTTCCTGACACTCCTCTGAGAAGACTCCCCTCACCCCCATGTGGGGCAGAGCCCGTTGTGCACTGGAATCTCCCCTAGGCTGACCCTCGGCACCACCTGCCCATGAGGTTAGTGGTCACCTGCCCTCCCCATGCTCTCAGTCTCTTTTGTTAAAAGGGGCATAATCTTTACTGCTCTTGCCCCAGTGCTTGGCACATAGTAAGTGCTTGACACACACTTCTTGGACAAATGAATGGGCTAAGGTGGGCCCTTGCTTCAGGACAGACAGTGATGCCCACATTTTTTTCTGAGATCCCACTTAGCTGGTTGTAGCTGATTTGTGAAATGCAAAGAAGTGAAAATGTGATCTTGTCACATTTTGCTTGTTCTTTGTTAGCGTATTTTTAACAGTGAGAGTTGTCATATACAAATGGAGCAGGGCAGGGTGCAGTGGCTCAAGCCTGTAATTCCAGCACTTGGGAGATGGGAAGATTGCTGGAGCCCAGGAGTTTGAGGCCAGCGTGAGCAACGTAGTGATACCCCCATCTCTACAAAAAATTTTAAAAATTTGCTGGGTGTGGTAGGGTGCACCTGTGCTCCCAGGGTTGTGAGAGGCTGAGTCAGGAGGAGCCCTTGAACCCTGGAGTTCAAGGCTGTAGTGAGCTATGATCACTCCACTGCACTCCAGCCTGGGTAAGAGAGTGAGAATCTGTCTCAAAAAAACAAAAGGAACAAGCAGGCATTTTGGGAGGAAGTCTTTTTGGCTCTTTCGGGGTCAGCCCTGAACCTCTCTGGATGTTCACTTTTGCAGCCTGACGTGCTGGTGCGTTTGCACACAGTGCCCTGGCTGCCTGGGACCCTCAGCTGTGTTAGAATAGTGTGTGCCTAGACAACTTCATGTGAGAGCTGGATGGTCTCCATGAGCAGAAACAGGAGAGTTGTCTCCGCTTAAATGCCAGGTGAAAATGGAGAGAAAAGTTTATCTGCAGACCACACAGCACTCTAAGAGGAAAGTGCAGGATGAGAGACCTGGCTTCTATCACAAAATAAGCTAGTCTATGTGTGCGTGTGGGTGTGTATGGAGTGCCATAAGTTTTGCTGCACTTTTAACATTGTCAACGCCTGTCTACTTTTTTCTTTTCTTCTGCTTCTCCTCCTCATCACCCTCCTTCCCCACTCTCAACCCTGTTTGTATCTCTGCTCAAATTCTATTTCTTCTGATTCCCCTCAGCATGCAATGGACAGAAAGAATAATTTAGTAAAAACAAGCAAACAAAAACCAGGCTAAAATAATTAATTGGTAAAAATAAACATTTTCAGGCCTTTTTTCATTCTTTGATAACTCCTATGGATTGTGGAGGCTGTTTTCGTCAAATACCTTATGCTTGTAATAACTTTTGTCTACCTTCTGGGATTTCCCAGGGGCTCATTGCTAACTTTGGCGAGATTCACCACGGAGTAGTTTTCTTCATTTTGGCATTTGTTTTCAGATATTTCTCTGTGTGCCTTTGGCAATGTTTTCATCTTTTTTTTCCACCCTCTCTAGTCTTACCAGTTTTCATGAGTTTTAATGTTGTCTTTGGAGCAAGGTAAAAAAATAAATTGGTTGAAAATGCGTGTTTTCTGCCATGAGTTGAAGCAACGGTAACTCGTTTGGACCTTAAGTGGTTTTGTGACAATCCAGTGAATTAGTCTGCTTTCAATCTAGTTTTGCCATTTAAAAATTCACTTTAGCTTTCAACTTTATCTTTTAAACAATGAGATATCAAACTAAGGGGGGCATTTTGTAAGCTAATTCGTGCCCTCCTACCATCCTGCCCTCCTGTTGGAAGCTGCATACCTCCTCTGCAGAAAGTTTCGACACCCTCAGGGACAAATGGGCTCTCCCAGGTAGCCACCACTCTGGCCTGGAATTGAGGACACTTTATTGCACTTACTTGTTTGTCAGTCTCCACCTTCTAAACTGTCTATCTTTAATTTAGAAACTCTTTTCTTGGTCCTCACACATAGCTGATGTTCAATAAATATAGGTTGAGTGAATGAAATGAACCTCTGTGAAGTTATACCCACCTTCTGTATATAATAATGTTTCATTATTGTAGCATGTGCATTTTGTGCCAGAGCCTTTTGAGATGTATCTTCCCAGCAGTGCTAGCAGGAAGACATCATTATCATCATCTTCGTTTTATACATAAGGGAAATGAGGCTCAGAGAAAGCAACTCAGAGTCATGCAATGAGCAAGTAGCAGAGCTGGGATGGGAACCCAGATCTCTCTGGCTTTGAAATTCTTCCAACTAATTTTAAAAGTAATTAATTAGCTAATTAATTAAGTTTAAATATTTATTGAGGTATAATAGATAAATAAAATTGCATATATCTATGGTGTACAACACGAGGTTTGGATATATGCATACATTGTGAAAAATGATCACTACAAGCAAGCTAATTAACATATTCATCCCTCACATAGTTCCCTTTTTTTTTGAGATGGAGTCTCTCTCTGTTGCCCAGGCTGGAGTGCAGTGGCCTGATCTCGGCTCAGTGCAACCTCTGCCTCCCAGGTTCAAGCGATTCTCCTGCCTTAGCCTCCCAAGTAGATGGGACTATAGACAGGTGCCAACATGCCTGGCTAATTTTTTGTATTTTTAGTAGACACGGGGTTTCACTGTGTTAACCTGGATGGTCTCGATCTCCTGATCTCATGATCTGCCTACCTCAGCCTCCCAAAGTGCTGGATTACAGGCATGAGCCACTGCGCCTGGCCCGTTGCCATTTTTTATGTGAAGGGGTGAGGACACTTAAGATCTACTCTTTTAGCAAATTTTGAGTGTACAATACAGTGTTATTAACTAACTACAGTCACCATACTGTATATTAGATGTCCAAAATGTATTTATCCTGAGTAACTAAAACTCTGAACCCTTTGACCAATGTCTCCCTAATCACACCTCTCCCCCGCACCCCTCTGGCAATTACCTCTGGCAATTACCATTCTATTCTCTGCTTCTATGAGTTCTACTCTGTTAGATTCTCTATGTAAGTGAGATC